ATAAGTACGGACCTCCAACTCGGTTGGTAAGAGCTATTTCATTAGCTTCAAAATATTAACCGAAAGCCTATTTTCGACACGGCGTTTCTGCTAAGGAAGTTTTTTATCCATGCAAAAGAGTCACGGTCATTTGATATCATTTGGCTTTCGAACCTATTTGGCAAAAACTCTCTAACCATTTTCAATCGTGGACAAAAATTGGAAGAGACATTTTACGAGACTGATACTTAGGGAACGTATCTTGAAGTCATTGAAGAAGTGTTTGCCTTAAGGACAACCTACTCAGCTTAAAATTGACGTAGAACTGATTCGGTGTAGTATTTTCACTTTCAGAGCTACAATCAGTAATGGATATTAAAGAACAATGGGCTAAACCTCGGAGAAAACAAAATTTTACGTCACGCCTAATATAGCGATGAGTACAGCATTTGTTTAAAATTCAAACGATGGAAATGTATAAATTAATGATATTAATCGTCAACATTTTTTTCTTCAATATTCAGTAAAAAAGTGGAATAATCAATACTTTCACTAAGATGCAGATGGTCGGAGTATTGTTTCTCCTTTGTTAGCATTTCCACTTTCAAAACATTATAATAAAAAACCTGGAGCTTATTCGAAACGCATTCGCTCGGTATCGAAGATCTCAAGTGTTCACTCGAAGACTCTCTAACGCAGATAATGAATAACAGTTTTCTGGTTGAAGTTTTAGCCCGTATTTTATTCAGCTTCACACGCGGCGTGACAGAGCATTACGACACTGATGAGCCTGAAGTGGAGATCTTTGGATATGACGATAGCTTAAGCAGTGAGGGTCGAGAGTGGAATTGTCAGCCCGTTGATAAACCTATTTATCAGGAATATTCACCGCCATCGGACAACGATTATTATTTCTTGTCAGTAGGGAACTCTCGAGTTAGATATCGGATCATCAATGCAAGCTCACCAGAGGAGAGTGAAGACGAACAGGAAGATGAAGATGATGAAATGGCTTGGAAGCGATTCAGACCATCCGTTCTTCGCACAGTTTGTCAATCAATGTACATCGGCGCATTGATTTCACTTCTAACCGCTGTTATCCTCGGCCTTTTTTATACCATGATCTCCTACGTCTCATCCGAACCAATGCGGCACTGGAAATTTCACCCGAAGGAGAGAATCTCAGTTAAAACACAGTGGATCAGAACATTGTTAGACTTAATACGTGTTACTTTTTTATTATATGTGGTTCTTTGTAGGAATGCTGTTTCTTCAGAACTTCATAACCTCACATTCATCGCTGTTCTTGGAATAATACACGGCGCAGTAGAAGTTCTAGAACGAAGAACCATGGCCTTTATTGATCATATTTGTCATGTGATCTTAAAAAGAAGATCAGCTCCTTGGGGAAGTTTACGCACTCCTCGCCGTGAGAGATTAATGGCTGATATTGCCATTTTAAGCATGTTATGTGAATCAACTGCTATTGTGTCTGTTAATGGCGTCTTGTATTTGTATCAGTTCACTTACTTAAAAAACATTGCACTTTTAAAGCTGCTTCAGGAATTTGTTGTTCATACCTCAGTTGCGCTGGTGATTGAATGGTTTTTCACCGGCGTATCCTTGGCCATCGAGACTCGCTTTCAGAATATCGCAGTCATGGCTGTCTGGCGCAGAAGATGGAAAAAGCACATTTTTGTCGCAGGGGCAAATCTGGTTCCATTGGCTTCCTGGACTACATTAACTATCTTGAAAGTTGTGCAAGGGCGCTTTGGTGAATGAAAGGTCATCCGTGCAAAATGCCCTTTACGTAGAGAACTTCTAAAAACTAAATGCGACGACAGAAAACTTTTAGAAAGTAAGCAACTCTTATGGGTGAGCCTGCGAGGTGCTTGGAACGATAGAAGAAAGAGCTTACAAGGACGCCATTATTTTCCGTTTATACGGTGTTCGCTCATGCACGCGTCTTTTTTCTTAATAAAGAAATAGCAGGTCCTAATACTTAATTCTGATATGCATTATGAATTACGACATTTCAATGAGCATTCAATTCCTTTGTGTAACTGTTAAATAGAAAAACCCTCAGGCAAAAACCCGAATCGAAAATGAGCTTCCGATCATTTGTTTCTCTGCAGGCTTCTGTTGACTCGAGAGACTGTCAGTTTTATTCATGAATACAGTTTGCTATGATCCGCAGAACTTGGAAGAGTTTAGTGACGTGATAGCTTCTTCTTCTGCTTTTCATACATGCATTGTATAGAGAGGCTAGTAAGGGGGCACACTTTATCTAGAACGAATCGTCCACTTTAAATCTAGTTCCTGAGAATTCAGAGGTGCAGAAAAATCGAGATATGAATGCATATATGTTTTTGTCACTAGTTATTTTTCTTAGAGTTATTGTCATAGTTGTTAAACTTGCCTGTGTTCATTAAAATTCAGACTTTAAGTACAGACCGCCATACTATACAATTACAGACAAAAACATTTAGTTATGTTTCATGAGTTGGTTCGTGTCGTAAGCTGCATGTGCTTTCAAGCGAAGTAGCCTGAGGGGCTTTTGAGAATTGACCACGTGTTTAACAAAGTAAGCAAAATTATTCTCTACCGGTGTATGCAAGACCCTCATATAGTCCTAAGTGCTATTTCCCTCACAGACTATTTGCCCTTATGCAGTGTGTGGCTTTTGGTGTGTGTCGTTCGGTTATAATTTGACAGGTTTAGAATGACTGAAACCACTTTCAGCCACCCCGAGGCTGTTAGGATTAAGAAAACAAAGTGGTCATTGTCTCGAAACTTTTCCCTTCTCACTCGACTGAGCATCAAAGGTAGGAAAAATGGATATGAACTGCACTGAGTTCGCGGAAAACGCCGAGTATATAAAAATTTAGTAAGGCTGGAGTTTGCTACGTAAGCACTTTCAGTATGAATGTACTTTCATTTTCCAGGTATAAATATACCTAAAAGACAGTATCCATTATGAAAGATTGCAGTTTGCATCTAAATTTTTAACTCTTCACTTAAAGTCAGGTTTATAGCTATATGGCTCCATACATCCCCTCTTTCCTTGCTTCTGTACGGATGTTAGTAGGGCTTCATAATCAACACTTCTCTGCACAGCACCACATAATGTTTGTCTGACCACTCCACGTCCTTTAGTTACATGCAAACAAAAGTAAAGCCAAACGCATGCTGTTAATAATTTTTGCAGACAAATCACATCTTCAGTGCTTAAAGATGAAAAAGGGGATAGCAGGTTGTGATTAAACATGTTCATAACCTTGTTCATTTGCTTTACCAACCCTTCGGTGGGCTAGTAAAAGTTACGCAGGACCTATAATTTTTCTTTTATTTTCCTTTTTTATTATTTGTTTTCAAGACAGCACTTTAAAAGTAAAGGTACAAGAAAAAAATCTAGCAACCGTTTCTTCATAAACTCCTCTGCTAAAGAAGACCGTAGAAAATGAAATAGAGACAATACATGATTGCCGCCTCGATGTTCTACAAGCCTGCTGCTTAGTGTTCCTAAATGATTTTAAGACCCTCAACACTGTAATGTTTCCGTGATGGCTAAAAGGTAATGCCATTTTTCGAGTGGCCTTGAGGAATTATCAGTAAGTCGTTTTCCTTCAGCGGAAGTAATATTGTCATGGCAGGCAGCGTTTCACTTCCCGAACCGATTACTTCATGAATGCTTGAGTAAAACCCAGGCAAATCATAATTTACCCTTTGTTAAGTGCAAGATGCAAGATTCAGGATAAGTATTGCAACATACACGATGCTTCCCAAGGTACATCTTGCAAGCTTCACCACAATATTCTGCATTTCCTTGATTGTTAATTCCATATTCTTCATATGCATGTGCTTATTTCGTTTCACGTCGCCATTGATGAGACCGGTCGACAGTTAAAAGACAGCTATCTGACAACCACACGAATAGTAAACATGGCCTTAAGAGCGACGCTAAATGAGTTACCTGAGAAAGTCGAGCCTCTTAGCTGGGAAAAAACCCCATGTCCCGAAAGATGTCTTCGAAACAATTTCACAATTCTTTATTGGAACAGTTTCGTGAATTTATATACAGTTCTTCGCCTCAGATGCAAAACAAAAATGTAACGACTTTGAAAAAATTTCGTCCGTGCTTAAGATCTTAAGATTGTCAGAGAGTATTCAATTTCAGAAATTTAATCATCTGTGCATCTAGATGAACACTATTGCAATTTAAACAATAGAGACTTGCAGACTAGAGGTGTGGATCACGCAATTTTTCTTTAATTAAATTGAAGTTCGAAATTTCTGTGCTATTTTTTAGTGGCACATCACACTTAATGAGAACTTAGAAATTTTTAAGTGTAATTTGAAAATTCGAGCAACTTCCGCCAAAAAATTAAGCAAGCTGGAAAATATAAGAGATAAATTATTAATGAAGTATTTTGTATCTCATAGAAAGACATGAATAGCTTCTGGCATCTATCTGAACAAAACATTTCCTCTCATAAATTATAGACATGAAAGTGTGCATTTTGAGAGGTAAGAGTTGCTCATATCAAAAACACCGATGGATGATTTGAGTAATACTTTCCCTGGAAAGTTTATACTCTCTACGAAAAGGATATTTTAAAAACTGTGCTGATGGATTTTCCGATGAAAATCGAATCCTTAAGAGATCGATCTTGTAAATTTGAAGGCGTTGTTTCTCAGAAAATCGGGGGAACTTGGCTTTTTATGTGTCCGCATTATCGGAGTATCTTCACCTAACATTCTTAAGAATTTGTTAATAATATGTTATTGTCTTAAACGCACCCCATTGACTGTAATTATGAAGCAATTGAAGTTAATGTTTCAGCGAAGTCTTTCTAACTGATACAACGGAAGATATCAAAAACATGTTTACTTGCAGGCCCACGTATTTCATTTGCGTCAATAACTTCAATGGGCCTGGACTGACAGCTGTTAATCTTGTTAATATCCCATTTTCAATACAAAAAGGTCGCTTCTATTACTCAATCCATTATTGAACTGATGCAGGTGCTCGACTCGAATTTTGTGGCATGCTGAAAGCAACAATATTGAGCTCCGTTGTCTTGAGGAAGCATGGAATTTTCAACGTTTCTTGTATTCGCAGCCTGGACTGCATCGATGACTTACTTGACGTTTGGTAAAGGTGAGTTGCAAAATGCGAATCATTTTCTATCCCTATATTCATACTTCAGCCCGTGTTATCTCATTTCCCATCGCTCTTTATTTGTATTTCGCTGATTCACAACAGTTGATGCACTGAGCAATGAAAAAACTAAAAACCTGAACTCAACAAACATGACCTCTAAAGGAAGGAACCTCACTCTTGAAAACTTGTTTTGTAAACATTGAATGGTATTTTAAAGAGAGTTGTTATTATGATGGGCCATATCGCAAATTTGCAGTTGTTACAAAAAAATTAAGAACGGCTACGATGAAGAATTGATTCATTCAAAACCATTTCAATCCTAACGCTCAGCTCATATTTACATGGAAGGGTAATCAATTCTATCACAAACATTTCATTGTTGTTTAGCAGATGGGAATTCGATAATTTGCATGGAAGAAAAATTGGCCAACTTAAACGTAGTTCTTTTTAAAGAATAATAATGCTGGCATTTGGAATAGACCACGTTTTCTGGTTTTAAAAATTTTTTAATGAAAATAGGGTAGCCCGACTCATAAGTTTTGAAACATTTTGTGGAATTAAGAAAAAACCTTTGACACAAAATACTTTTAAGTATTACCTTTTTAAGTTGAGGCTTTAAAACTTGCCAAAGAACGAACAGCTTGATTAAGAAGATCCTTGACAAAACCTTTGCACAGAAGTTTCGTGCAATTTTCAAATTTTGTGTTCTTTAAAAATTAATCTCGCTGCAAGGATACACTAGACTGAAATTTATTCAAATATACATTATTCAGTGTTTTTAAAACTCTGTCGCTGTGATCAATATTTTTTAACAACGGAAAAATGATTTGGGTGGACTTTAATCGAGATGAGGAAAGCAAATTAATGAATGAAAACGATGAACAGATAAATGAGTTGTTTTAAGAAACAAATGACGGAAATAAAGAGATGATTATATTTACCACAGCGAAGCAATTCTAACAACCTACGTTGGCTAACAAAAGTGCTAATTTAAAAATTTCTTTCTTAGATTTGTGTGTTTAGAAAACTTTCAAAAACTGATGTAAATCTGTTCATTTTTTCGGCTTCAATCTGCATGAATTTCCTCTGCTCACGATAACCGTTTGAAGGAAGGAGCCCCAAGGGACCTCTTCAGTTATACATTCTTTAAATAAACACTCAATAGTCAAGCACCTGTTTGTTTAAGAGAAGAAAAAAGAACGGAAAGTCCTTGAAAACCATCCCTGGTCAAAGTTTTTGAGATATTAAAGGCTCTCTATGAGAGAATTCAAATTAAGTTCATTGCACTGATGACAACGACATCAAAAATTGCTAACACCGAGTAACTCTCTTTGTGGTAAGAATTTCACAGAATTATTCATTAGGCTCGACTTTTCTATCGATATGATACACTCAGCTAAAATCTAAGAGCTTCTTGAATTGCCAAATTCATGTGAAACACGAAAAATTTGCCGTCAAGGTTCCGTTCCTCAGAAGCACTCAAACTCTCAAATTAAGGTAGTTTTATGTTAGTTTAATTGTAGAAAACGGCGAAGTAATTTAAAATTTTTTAGACACGTTTACGAATTATCGTTCTTCTCATCAAATGTTTTGTTTGACGTAAGTTCTTGACGTATTTGCCTCCGTAGTTTGCTGAGATCCGAGAACTTTTGCTAAGAGATCAGTTCTCAGATCTTTGTACTCGAAATTTATCTTTTTCGCGACGGAAAAGTATGTCTTGTAATAATATTTTAATTTGATTACTATAGAGCGAGAGCGCGCAATGCTGTTTCCAGACTACTACTTCTTTGCTGGAAGACGTTTGGTGAACCACGCCATTGAAGAGAAACGCGTCAAGAACTTGGATGACTGTGAGCTTTTGTGCTACCTGAGCGACAGCTGTGTCAGTCTTAACTTCAAAAAGGATCCTGACAATAATCAACCAGGTCACATCTGTGAGCTAAATAACGCAACGCATCTGAAATATGACAGTGACTTGACAACTGATGCCAATTTTTACTATCGTGGCTCGAAGGTGAGTTACAAATCGATTTTTCGAAATTGTCGCCTTAGAATAATATAAAAACAATAATTAATGTTTTGGCAAATTTCCGTGTGTTCGATCTTTCGGTATTTAGTTTCTTCTATCAGTCAATCCCTCCATCTTTTTTTCGTTATTTCATCTTATTTTCCCTTTCTCCTTCAGAGCGCTTGTGACAAGAGTTCCCACTGCCAAAATAACGCAACTTGCCAGTCTGGATTTACACTCAAGGGATATCGATGCTTGTGTCCTCCTGGATTCGAGGGAGAAAGTTGTGAAACGGGTATAAGTCTTAGTCAACACTTGAAATGATGTATATGGGAGATTTTTTTTCTGATTTTCAATGCTGGTATGACAACTGTCCTTTAGTTGCTGAAAGTGGCGTGAATTTGTCTCATTGTATATTGTGTTGAATCTTTCCAAAAGAAAATTTCTTATTATATTTTATTGTGTGCATTGTTTTCTTCGCTCAATCGTCTGTATATTTTCGTTCGACGCCTTTCCATGGCAAAATGAGAGCAGTTCAAATGCATGTTGTATGTTTAATATAGTAACAGTAAGGATAGCTCAGAAGTAATACCTTAATTGAAAGGTCCCACCTGAGAACCACTAAGAACAAGAAGCTTCAAATAAATTTAGGTTTTTGTGAATTGCTTAGTTCATATGACTCTCTGATGGAAACCAAAAATGACTTAAGTTGATATTTTGTTCCTTTTTTTTTTTGTTTCTTTCTAATCTCACGACAGATACTGATGAATGCGAAGCAACCCCTAGTAAATGCCACAAGGAGGCTACGTGTAATAACACAAACGGATCATACGTGTGCACATGCAAACCTGGATTTATCGGAGATGGGCGGAATTGTACAGGTAACCGTTAATAGTTTCAAAAGCCTTCAGATTCTCGTTGAATAGTGCAATGAGATTTTGTCAGTTTGGTTGTTTGTTGATGTTTATTTTGGTAACGTGGCAAGACATGTTTTAATTCTTCAAAATAGATGGAGTAGTTACCCGACTAAAAGTTATCACGTGATAGCTTTTTACATAGATAACTTTTTTCTTCATGTACGACAATCTCGCGTTCTCGCAATTCAGCAAAAAGTTGAAAACAGCCATGGCTTGCACTCTTTAACACGGTAATGGCGTATGAAAGGCATTTTTTGGATAATTTTGAAATCTCATTTTTTTTATCTCTGATTTCATAGACGTTGACGAGTGTAAAGGAAACCACTCTTGTCACGAGAATGCAAACTGCCGCAACAACATTGGATCACATGTATGCGATTGTCAGCCTGGATATACTGGAAATGGAAAAAATTGCACAGGTGAATTCGGAATAACAAGGAAATGCGGTCATGGATGATTTCTTTTCGTTCGTTCTCTCTTTCGTTGTTTGTATGTCGTGTTTTGTGTTCCCGTGGCATAATAAGAGCAGTTAATAGCGTATGCTTTAGCTGGTATTTGCTGTACCTTCGTGAAAAAATTTCCAAAATAGCGGTTTGACTTACGGGTCCAGCCCGAGAATCACATGAAACTAGAAAATTGCAAACGAGTGTCCTACTTTTTTCATACATGTACTTATATGACTCTTGAATAAAAACCAAATCCCATTTTTCATTCTTTTCTCTTTTTTTTCTTTTATTTTGAAAGATATTGACGAATGCATAGCATACCCTGGCAAATGCCACGTAAACGCGACTTGCAATAACACAGACGGATCACACGTTTGCTCATGCAAACCTGGATATATTGGAGATGGACGCAGTTGTACAGGTACATTCAATAATCTCAAAAGTTTTCAGATTCTTTTTGACAATTACAATGAATTTTGTACGTTTTGTACGATACCGTGGAAAGCCAAGATTTAATTTTTTTTAACGAAGGGGGAGGCGGTTACCCAACTAAAACTTTTGCAGTGCAAGCTTTTCACAAAGATAACTTGTTTTATACATTTGAGAGAATCTCGTTCTCGCAATCCAGGGTTGACAGCAGCCATGGCTTGCAATCTTCAACAAGGTAATGGCTGATGCACAGCAAATTTTTCATAATTGTGAGTTCCTTTTCCTGTGATTACTTAGATGTTGACGAGTGTAAAGGAAAGCATTCCTGTCACGAGAAAGCAAAATGTACGAACACCATTGGATCACATGTATGTGAATGTCAGCCTGGATATACTGGAAATGGACAAAATTGCACAGGTGAATTTGATAGCTTTCCTTTAGTATAAGAAAACTCTTACCAGAACTGTTAGGAAAAGTCCAACTTTTACGCCGCAGCATTCTGCACTGTTAGAAAATGAGATCCTTGATGATTGTTTTGCACTGCCTACAATGATTTTACGGTCCCCTCAGGTCATGTTTCTATTTTGTAACTGAATAATTTCGGTACTATTTGTTTCTTTCTGCCTTTAAATGGAGGTTGCAATAATAATAGACGAAGGCATGAAAAGAAACCCCAAGTTTTACCATAAACCTCGAAGCTAGGGATAAATTTTTGTAAATATGTTAAATAACAAAATGAAGATGAAAAAAAAAATCCAATTCATGTAAATTTTCTGACAAAACTAATCGCTGTCTTAATTTGCGTCGACTACTTATTGAAATATTTGAACTCCTGTGCCGGGTTGTTCAAAGCTGGGTTAAGATAACCCAGGATAAGTGTGAAATTTGATTTCAGCTCTGTAAGCTTAAAAAAAGATCTAGCCTCATTTTTTGTCTGCAATGCTATGACTGCATGCTCTAAAGAGAATCGAGAAAATTATCCCAAACTGGCTTTTGAACAAAGGAATTAAAGAACCCCAGTGTCACAGAGGATTTGGACCCCCCCCGGTCCAAATCCGCTGGCGGATATTGACCCCCCTTCGCAGATTTGGACTTCCTACCAACCTTTTAAGCATCGTTTGTATCATATATGGTAACTAATTCTATTTGCAAGCTTTTTGTCGATGCTCCTTTTAATCACAACGCAACATTCCTCGATAAAGGTGAAGAAAAACAACCATTTCGTTCCAATTCTGCCGCATCTAATATAGCGAGTCGTACAGTATACGCAAGAATTAGATGCGAACAAACTACGGCATTCGAACTATTGAAATTGTAACAATAAATTTTTGCTACTTCTGATGCGAAACAACATTGATACGAAACGCCATAACAATAGTGGAGACTATTGCGTCTAGTCACAAAAAAAATAACTCAGTCTGATTTTCTGATTAAATTACATTAAACAATTTCTGAACAAGAACAAAGTAACTACTCCTAATACAAGTCGTTCGTAAAGCCTATGATAAGTAAAAATGTTTCTATTCTGAGCTATTGGAACTCTCAGCTTATTTTTAGATGCAAATCAATATTAATGTCTACGTCTTAACAAAAGTGGAGACTATTACATCGAACTCAATCTTATTTTCTAATTTTAACGATTGTTAGCTGTTGAGGGATCTAAAATAACAAATTCGTACTGTACCATGTCGTCCCAACACTCGGACATTGAACAATAACAAAATAAAAGTCACAAATTGTCTCTTACTGAATCTAGCAGTGTTCGACTATCGCGGAAAAGGTTCAAAAACGACCTTTCTCCAAACATTGAACTAAATCCTTGCGCATTTTTCCTCGGTCAAAAGAAACATCCGACGTGTCATTTCCAGCTGCCAGCTCGTATGCATTGGCGATACGCATGTTTTGAAATAAAAACATATTTTAGTACGCACTGAAACGTAAAGTATTATCTATTTCTGCGAGAATGTTAAGAATGATGTTTGCACTCAGTTCTGTTAGGGGGTCCAAATCCGCGGAGGGAGATCCATATCCGCTAGCTGATTTGGACCGAGGGGCTCATATCCGCTAACGGATTTGGACCGGGGGATCCAAATCCGCTAGGACACCGGAGTAAAATTTATTTTTGGAGTATTACATTTTATAACGTCGAGGTTTTTTTTCTCAATCTTATATTGCCATTCGCCATATCCTTAGTTTATTTGAAATTCTAACTGCACGTGCACGAGAGAATATAGCCCCTTTACACCAGTCGGCGATCGATAGTTAAAATTTCGTGACATTGTACTCTCTAGCGCCGTAGAATTTTGTAATGTTGCCCGTTGAGAAACTTTTGGCCCCAAAAATGTAATCGTTAGATTTTATGCGAAACAAAAGAAACTAATGATAGGGCCGCTGTTGAAAAAAAATTTATAGCTGTATAACAACGCATTTTGCATCAAAAATCCTACTTTGCTCTGTGACTTAGTATGTTTTTCTGCACATCGGGAAGTTTAAAATGAATCTCTGCAATCAGTATCAAAATGCAATTATTTCACCTGCAGATGAAAACTTGGCTTCGTAATGAAGTCCTGGTATTATTTTCATCGTGTTACTTCTCAGATGAATAAATGGCTGATTTAAACTACTTTACGTTGTCGTTGATGTCCAATTTTTTAGGGAAAAATTCTGCTTTTTTGATATACATTTGTGTTAAAGATTACGAGTATCAAATATTTTGACATTTAGATACTTCTATCATCTAGTGACATCTGCTGTAATTTGATCTTTACGGATTATGCATGATCTCTTTCAGACATTGACGAATGCAGTAATGCTCGAGCTGATCAATTGAACAAATGTCATGCAAATGCCTCTTGCATTAATACTTATGGTTCATACAACTGTTCTTGTAATCCTAAATACATTGGGGATGGTTTTAACTGTGAAGGTGCGTTTGGTATCTACCGCTATAGATTAGACTCGGTCTAAGTCGTTACTGCTCAGTTAGCCATTAGCGGCCATATTGCTGCACCTCTGGCTTGCCTAAAGCTGCAACTCCTTTGATGCGTTATTGAAGAAAGAAGAAACATGAATTCAGATAATGATATCCATAGTTAACAAAATTTGATTTCCTACATTGACTTTTTATCTTCGTCGATTGAAACATTCCCACACAAGTACTACTTGAACTCTTACTTACTGCATAATAGTTATTTTTCTTGTATAGTAAGGATCGGTCGCTAAACTTTTATGATTTGAAGGCGTTAAAAAATTATTTAGCCTTTGGTGATAACGACAAAAATCCTCTTACAATCATCATTTAACTTTGTAGCCGATCCTTGTTATGACTACAAAAACCTCAGTGATGCCTCTAGAAAGAGTAGTTACAAAGACGACGAACATCTATGTGATAAGAAACTCCCAGAGGGATGGTATCGTTTTGTAGGAGCTGCAGGAACAAAAATGCCAACAACGCGTGTGTCAGCATTCAGTTGTGGTACAGTCTTCTCTGGCTGGTTAATGAGAGAAGATGCTCCTCCTTCCAGGAAGGTCTGCTTTAGTGATAAAAAGTCTGGATGCGAAGATACTGTGAGTATCTCCGAGAAAGAGTGTGGATCCTACCATATTTACAAACTTCATGCGACAAAATGTCCAAGGCGTTATTGTGGTTCAGACTGAGTGCGAAGTTTCATGTACACAAGGAATTTTGCGAAGTCATCTTTTTTATCATAATCATTAACCAAAAGTGCTTTAAATTTCATCTAAAAATAATCGCCTTCATTATAATCACATGCAAGAGCATGGTTGATTACAGAGGTTAAAAACAAAACGGAACAAAAACGAAATAACAAATATTAGACAAAAACAGAAAAACAAACAGACAAACAAACAAAAAACAAAAATTCAAAACAAACAAAAAAAAACAAGAGGACAAATCTGAGTTAGTGAAATTGTAGACTAACAGTGACATTTTACAGGACGTGAGTTATTTCGCTCAGCTTTTCGACTTGTGTAAATAATAGGGCATGGCAACTTTAAAGCGATCATTTTGACAAAAATTGAACAGCTTCTACTTAATACTATGCATTTATCTCACATAACTCAAAATAAGCGCCGTGAAGTGACTGAACGCCAAAGTAAATGTAACCGCAAGTCAACAAAACATAAAAGAACCAGGGAATCAAAATATTAAAAGCTTTTAGCTTTTAGGGGTTCTTGGCAAAATTACTTAATTCTTATTCTAGTTATTCTTTTCTAGGTTTTACTTGTTAGGTTTTGTGGCAAATAAATAGACAAAATAAATAAATAAAATAATAAAATCATCACCGAAATAAAGAATCTGAAGTACACTGTAGGACTGAATAAAAAAAATGTTCAGGAGCAATTTTAAGACTGGATAAAAGCGCAAGGTGTCTGTTATTTTGCCTGCAAAAAGCCTGAGTACACCGAGTTGATTATGCACATAGTGCTTTTGTCGCATCTTGAAATTTATCCGGCCATGCGCAATGGGTCCATAATTTCTCTAAAAAAATAAAATTATGATAATCTCAGTTGAAAAAAGATAAAGTAATTATGAGACAAACAGGGAATGTTTACTTCTTTTTAGCATTTGCAAAATTTTAAGTTATGAAACGTAATCGAAAATCACGAACTCTGGGATGTTCATTTCTTCTCTTTTTTTTTTCTTCCTTTTTTTTATCTTTTGCACTCATTGTCTTCCCAGGTGATCCATCGGGGAAATTGGGATGACAGTTGCGAGCCTCCCGTATGAGGTTTGCCTCTGTCCACAATATCATGCTACATGCACTTTCTTCAGCTCAAATTACTTAAGGGTGATACGAAGGCCGAAATTTTAGCCTGAGTACATAGAGCTCTCAACATAGATATGAAAATATTTTTCGTTCCGCTTGAGCGATTTTAATTCTTGCCTTTAAGTTGATTTGGCTGCAATGAAGCCATATGCTACATATATTTGGCTTCTAGTTTACCAGGTTATTGAGGTTTTAAATATTTAATTTGATTTGACCTTTCCAGCGTTCTAATTCTTTCTTCAAGTTGAATTTGCGCATCTTTTTTGGCTATATTTTACACATATTTGGCAGTTAATTTTTGTCACGCAATCAACTTGTGAGCTATTTCGCTGCTAAAGCGTGAATCTTTGTTTTCCGTTCCCTTTGCGGCCTTGCAACTTGCTCAAGTACTCCCAAATAAAACTGCCAGCTACGCACTCTGGTTATAACGACCTCCAAATTGTAATCGCCTATTCATTACACAACAAATCCGCAAGGAAGCTGGCGTTCCTATCTTAAATAACGACTTACACACGAGGGTGGGTGTGCAGCTCGAACTAAGAGCCCGAGTGTTTAATGCCGTCGGAAAAATGTACAGAGAACAGTAAACAACTAGTTACAGTTGGTACTTACAAGCAGATTTTGCCATCTAAATTAAAGCTTCTTTGGTTGTTGATCATTTGCTTCATTCTCCTGACCCTAATGCTCGATTCAGGGGCGATATGGTAAGGAGAAATTACACGCTAGTCACTCTTATGGGGTGAAATGGTTACTTAGAGGAGTAACAGTAACGATAGTTACATCTACTGGTTGGTCTTAAATGGTAAACAAAGAAGGAAGAACAGTTCTTCACTTCAATGTTGTGTACAGCTAGTTCTTTACAGTTTTGACGCCTTCGAAAGTAGACAGTTCTTGCAACTGTTCCATCTTCCACCGTCGGATGAACTCCTTTTAACCAACCTGGCCATGATGTACCACACCTTGTATCAGTCGGTGGACACGTAGTCGGCATTCGTATTCCTGTCTTGTTTAGGAAACGATACCAGCCAGCGTTTAGTTGTCTGTCACATTTATTGCCTCCAACGTCCTCTATGTCTCGATCTTCATCATGTAAAACTGTGTGGAGTTGACAAGGATCAACTGAACAGGAAAAACAAAAGGAAACCGTTGTAAAAAAAAAAAAAAAAAAAGTGAAACCGCTGTAGAATTTTGTGAAGTGGTGGACCATCATCATGAACACATAGTCTTAAACGTATAGTTCTCTCTAAGAATTGTTCGTTCTCGCTTTACTTCGCTCTTTGATTGGTCCTGAAAATTCGCGCCACTTTCTTGACCAATCAGATTCCACACTAAAACCAAAACACAACTTGGTCACCCGCATTTCCCCTGTTGTCGTTGCTTTGGTTTTGATTTTACAACACTGAATAGAAACAAACGCTCTGACCTAAAAGAAGCAAACGACTTTCAGCGTCGTAACGGCTCGATATCAAAAGAAGCAATCAGAAAAAAAAAACAAAGAATCAATGATGAAATAGACAAATAAATGAAAAGGTAGATAAATAAAAAGATAAATATCCTTTCAGTTGCTGCCTATGATAGGGCTTGATATAAAAATCCGGATTTTGTTAGGTTTTCAGGGTCAAACGAGGTTTTTAGAACATAAACGATTTCCGAAAGCTTTTTTGGGCCATTTTTTTAGGATAGCTGTATCTAGGCCTTGCATATGAGAACCCAGATGCCTCAAGAAGTATCGAATTTACTTGCACAACTCCGTCCATTTCTGATATATCCAGGTTTGCAGAAGCAGTGATACGATCCCTCTGTGTTATAGCAGTAGGCATTTGCGTTGCAATCGTGCGAATTTGTTTTGCATTCGTCGATATCTAAAAAAGGTGATCGAAATAAACATAAAATTAGACAAATAACGAGAAAGAAAACAAAGGGAGTGCGGAGGAACCTTTTTTCAGTTTCACGATTTCCACCAACAATGCAAACTGCTTCAGCAAATACCATCCACTTTTCTCGATCCTCGTATTTGTAACGTTTATATTTTCTTGTGTTTCTTCATTTAGACCTTTCAGATGAATTAAATGCAAGTTCAAGCGTACTTTCGCATCCTCTGCGTATGATGAGACACTTCGCTTTTCTCCTTAAAGAGACGTTGAGATAAAACGTATGGAATGAAATATAACTGACCTGACCCCCTCTCTCCCCTCCCCCCTTGCAAAAACTCGAAGGAGTACAGTATAAACGTCAAACTAAACGAGACACACGTTTAACAATCAAACGCTCTGTTAATCAACCCACGGGTAGTAGCGTTGTGCTAGCATGAATATCAGAGCGACAATTGTGCTGAAATCTAAAACTTACCTTTTTCGCAATATTCTCCCTCGAATCCAGGAGGGCACGAGCATCGATATCCTTTGATTGTGAAACCAGACTGACAAGCTGCGTTATTTTGGCAGAGTTGATTTTTGCTGCAGGCGTTCTGAATCAAAAAAGAAAGATTTTTAAAAGTAAACAAAAATTAACCAGAGAGAAAGGGAAAGAACGGAACAAAGAAAAAAAGAGTTTGTTTGTAAAAGAACCTTCAGCAAACCCCGTTACGAGGACGTGGCAAAACAAAAGATCTAATGAGTAGAATAATAGCTTAGCACGAGCGTTTTAAAACTTAGTACATTTTGAGGTGTGGCGCCGTAAGAGATGACAAACACATTCAGCCATTCGCGTAATTCTGACGGAAAATTGCATTGACGCCATTCTAAGTGCTAAAGGTTCCTAATTAAGGAGTTAAAGGCGACGCCGTGGACAACTTCGGTTAAAAAATGATCTTATATTTTACCTATGAATCTTGCAATTCTCGTAAGCCATTCAGTTGGTTTCTCACTTTTAAAATTATCTAGAAACTGAATATAGTCCACACCGTTAAATTATGAAGAGAAATTTAAAAAATTACCCGTCGTCGCTCAACACAAAGTTTGGTCATTTCAGGTGGTTGTTTTGCAGAGTAAGCAAAGAAATTTACAAAGATTTTGAACGCGTGTGCGCAGCCGTTGTTCAAATCATTAAAACCTTTGTCTCCGGGGTTACTTACACTCCCTATTAGGGACCTTAAGCAAACCATAACGGCGACGGCAACGAGGACATGGAAAAACAAAAGATTTAATAACAGCAGAACAATAACTCAGCACGAGCGTCTCAAAACTTTGTACATTTCTTAGCCGTTCTATGCAAAACAAGGACGTGAAATCACCACAATTTGCGTCGTCTGCGAACCGAAACTGCGTCTTCCTTGGCGTTGCCGTCCTGACTGCTTAAGGTCCCTAATATTCATTCCGAGACGACTATTGCACTAATTTTAAGTTGTAACCCACCTTAGACCCACGGTAATAGAAAACCATGTCAGTTATCAGGTCCACCTCGTGCTCCAGATGAGTGGCGTTATTCAGTTCACAAGCATAAGCTATTCCATCATTCTCTGGATCCTTTTTGAAGTTAGCACTGACACAGCTGTCGTTCAAGTAGCACAAAAGCTCGCAGTCATCAAATTTTTTGACGTATTTTGTTGCAATCGTATGATTTACCAAACGTCTTTCAGCAAAGAAAAAGTAATCTGGAAAAAACATCGTGCGATCTCTCTCTAAAATAAAACAATTCAGTAATAATTAACAACTCCTCACCAAAGCGGAGGTGGCTTATGGTAGATGTTTACCGAGCCTCGAAGCCAGATGATAAAGTGCATGGCAAAGATGATTTTAACTAACGATTTTCGGGCGCAAATCCCGCGCGAGTTGCTCGGAGGTGAATATTAGATCCGCCTTCAACACTGTCCACTGTTAAAATATATACTAAAGACATCTTTTTCCCTAGTCGCGAACGTAGGACAAAGAAAGACTTCTGAGTTCCCTTGTGGAATATTGAACCTCAGACCTTCGGAATCAATGCCCCACCCAGTGCATTCACAATTAGGAAATATTTTTCCCGAATAAGCTTATTACTTTCTTTCATGACCAATTTCTTGATTTTCTAAATGGCATACGATAAAAATACCCTTTCGTTCATTTCTCCTTTAATTTCCACCCAAGAAATTTTGTCATCATTCTCCAGACATTGATATTGAATTCGGGTTTTTCGTTTTGGTTGGACGCCGGAACTATGAATCGTTGCCTAAATTAAGTCCCACAGGTAAGTGTTAAACCAAGGGCTTCTGGACAGATAGTTATGAACAGTTATGACTGGAACAGGGAAACGAGAAAACTAAACATACGTTCGAAATTGCACGCATGGAGGATGACTTTGAAAATTAAAAATGTTTCGCAGTTTGCAACTCACCGATACCAAACGTCAAATAAGTTATCACTGCAGTCCAAGTTAAAAACATAAATAACACGCTAAACCCCATGGTTTACCGAAAGACAACGAAGTTTCTATATTGATAGCTCAGACATACATCGAATATTGTTTAAGTTTCAAGACAGTTATCGCTCAGAAGTGCCAAAATTAGGAGCGAGGCTCCTGATACTTTTATCATGAAACAAAGGTGTTCTGATTATTGGTTTACAAATTTAGCAGCTGCCTGTGATGAACCAATAACAGCATTGATGAAATTTCCCCTTTTCACTAAGTTATGGACATTACGGATAAACATAACGCAACACTGATTTAAACCGTAGTTCCTGTTTTAATTACGTTCGTAAGCAAAAACATCGCTACAAGTTTTTCGTCATTCTCTTTGGTACATGAGAAAAGTTAGACTTGTGGGACAGACATTAATTTTAACTGAAAGATAAAGCGCAAGAAATGTTTGTTTCACAGTGTTTTATTTGTCGTGGATTTCAATTTTAACATCGTCAAATACAGTGTTTTCAAATAGCATTGTGTAAATACTTCCTCAGGAGAAGCTTATGAAGGGCAGGTAACAGTAGTCAGTGTGAACAATTACTTCTCCGATGACCTCACGTACACATTTAATATTCTGATTCTTATTATTATGCGAAATTAAATTTGGTTTTATCATTAACCTGTTTGTGGGATTTCCAGTTTTTTCTTGGCGTTTAATCCCATGAATTAATTGGTAAACATTTCCAAGAACTGGAATTAATTTCAATCACTTTTTGAGGATTTAAATTGTGAACAGAAGAATTCCAAAGTGTTTTGCTCATATAGAGGTTATTTAACCTATAGAGAAATATTCATCTCATCTCTTTGTAAATAAAGTTCTTAAACAAATGGTAAATGAAAACATATTTTAATAAAACGTGACAAAAAGAGAGAAAATTAGCACGATGTTTATCTTTTTCAGACAACCTCTCATATCAGACGTTACATGGTAAAGTCATTTTCAGAAGAAGCTTAACTAATAATACTACTTTCGAAAAATTAAAAAGAAAATTACCTACTTTGTACTGACGTTTGTTTACTTTAATTTCAAAACGAGCATATTGAAGCAAACCTATTTTTTCTATTTTTGTATATAATTTTCATCACATAAATTAAGCTCGTTGTTACGGACTCACAAGGAGCAGATATTTTGGCCATTCTGACGGCGAATATCGTCTTCAATAAGAGTGTACAGACCACGCTAAATCACTGTAAATTTGTTAAATATTTAGCGCATTTAGGAGACGCTGCTCTTAATGAGTGACTAAGATAGAATTTCTCTTTACAACATCAATACAATATCAAGCAGATAAGAGATGAGAATAAAGAAAAATATAAATTGGGGAATTACCACAAGAATTTTGATGACAGAGAGTAAGTAAAATTACTAAATGAGATCTTGGGAGTAATAGGATTGCACGCAATTTCGGGTCTGCACTTTTAGCCAGCATGTAATAAATAAGTAGCTCGAGATTTTTGAAGATAAAACAGTGTCTGGAACGCAATTTGAAGGAGCGAAAACCTGAAAGCATTTCAGAAGAAGGCCGTTTTAAAAATCTACTTGTATTATTCCCGGACTCCGGTGTCTCGCAGCGTTGGGGAGTTTTAAGAAACTCACGACGGCAATGGTAACGGGAACGTCACTAAACAAAAGGTTTAATGAGCAGAACAATAGCTGTGCACGTGCGTCATAAACCCTTGTAAATTTCTTTGCATCCTCTGAAAAACAACAACGTAGAATGACCAAACTTTGCGTTGTCTGGGTAACGTGAACGATGACGGCTAGTCTTTTCAAATTCCTATTTCTAATTCAACGCTGTGTTCCATATTCAGTTTCGAGATAATTTTGACAGTGAGAAACAAGCTAAATGACTTTGGAGTATCGCAAGACTCGTAGGTAAAAAATAAGTTCATTTTTTAACCAACGTTGTCCACGGCGTAGCTGTCGTCGTTGCTTAAACTCCCTATTGACGAAACAGGACTCCCCACGAAACAAAGAACAAACACACCATACCAGTCTTGTAATAATTTCATTGAAAATATCAGCATCGTTCAATAAAATAAAATTATTCCTCATTATTTCAAGAAGACTACGAGCAGTCCCTCAATTTTGGAGCAGTTCGTTGCACGAGTCAAAAATTTCAGCAAAAAAATTAATTGATGGTAGCGCGTGTTTCAGCAAAAAAATTAATTGATGGTAGCGCGTGTTTCAGCAAAAAAATTAATTGATGGTAGCGCGTGTTTCAGCAAAAAAATTAATCGATGGTAGCGCGCCACGTGAAACTCTGGGAGCGAGGTGCAGAGCGTTACGGGCTCCTAGGAGTTCTGCGCGGCGCGCAAATATTTTTTTTTTCCCGCAGTATATTTTTTTTTTGACTCGCGTGATGGACTTGGCTGAAAAGGAGGGACTGCTAGTGATCAAATTCCCCGCACTATAATTAGACAAATAACAAGCGAGGGAGAAGGCAATTATTTGATGACTTAACTCAGTAACTCTACGGGCCCTTAGTGTAATATAACAGCAGTAAATGCCACGTGTACATCATCATACACTGGAAGATCCTTTTTTCAAAATGGCGTTTGAACATTGAAACTTTTCAACGTTCAAGTAAAGATGATTTTACTGTCACTGCCTCGAAGACGTGACGTTACTAAGCCGCAGAGAGATTTAAAATCACCCTCTTTGAGCCATCAGACCCTTTGGCAGCTATGCAATTTTTTATCTAACGAATTGTGGAATATTAACCGACTTCATGAACAATCCATTCAATCGCTTCTCCCTGGAACAAGCTTCCGTCCGAATAGCCCTTCAACTCGAGAACTAGATTGCATTATTACTGATTATAACTTCTTCAAGCACAGGAAACCAACCTCTTGGTTAGCATTTAACTGATCCTGTGTTTAATCAAACTGAACAACTGAGAATTCGACAAAAACTTTATAACAGATATACACAATTCACCTTTTGGGCCTCAGATTTCACGTGTAGTGTCACGTGACTTTTGATGTAACCAAACCCCGAAAGTTCGGACATTGAGTCGAGCTCGCGGCACATATGTCCAAACTTCGGCTTTGGCAATTTCAGTTCCTTAAATAACTTCCCACTTTCAAGAATCGTTTCTTCGCTCAAAATTGACATCTTTCTTTTATCATTTACTTGGTTGGTTATCAAGAAAGTTGTTATTTTGCTGCCGTTGAAGTAGATGCGCAGAATGTGATTGGAAGAATTGTGGCATGGAATAATCGAACTAGTTCTGCGTACAGTGATTTATCTGATCAGGTATTTCCAGGATTTTAAGTGCGTAGGTTGTCAAATAAACTCACGTCTGATAGGAGATTAGTGCCCACGAATCGCTGTAGAACGTAGAAGTAAGCGTTGATTTCCAAAATTAAAACCTATTTCAACTCTGTGAACGTGTACGATTTCAGTTGGTAAGTAAGTGTGAAGAATTTCGTTATGGAGAAAGTACTGAACTCAAAGAAAACCTACCACTACACAGGTAGACAAATTAACTTATACTTAATAAAGGTCTATTTTGTAAAAAAAGTCCACGTCCAAGCACATGTAGCAGAGCTAGATCGACAGACCATCTTTTTCACATAATCTATTTCTGGTTATATTGTAGGCATGAAGAAGACTGCCTAACCAAAACACAAAATTGTTATTATGTATGTAAACATGTTTCTTTATACATTGTAAGCAACAGAAATTATGTTTACAATATATATTTGATTACACTGACAATTATACACTCACTTGAACTAGAAAAAAAGTATTGTGTCAGTGATCATAGCATTTGTTGGATGCTTTTCACATCTGTCTTGTAAATTTTCAGACCAGAGTGTTCAACACTATCTGGGGTAGATGTGGCGGGGGAATTGTCCGGTTACAAAGTTGACAAATCTAGAACTTCATGAAAATCTGATTGTACAGAGGAGCTGATACGGGTATCTCCCTCAAAGTATACTCCACATAAAGTAATGATATAATTGCAAGAATAACTTGGCTGCTGAGCTGCAGAACTGATGGTCTGTGAACCATAGCTTTATAGAGATGAGCAAACCTCCTGTTCATCTGTTGAGTCCATTTAAAAAAAATATAATAGATGACAACTTGTCAGTATCACTGTCATGAAAATCTCTAGCTGAGTGACCTTATAATTTATCCATCTCTGTGTAGAGATCAGAGCTCTGAAAAATATTAGAAAGTAAAAATTACAAATTAACTATTAACTTAATTCATATTGTTGGAGTTTCGTTCTATAGTTTGTTACCCTTTAACTCCTGAGAGTGACTAACTTGTAAATTCCTCCTGACAGTATCGCCCTTGAATCAAATACAAAGGTCACGAGAATAAGAAATAAAAAACTCAAGAAGTTCTTGATTGTCCAACAAATTCTCCTTGTCAGTGTTATTGTAAATTTAAGAGGACAGCGAGGAGAACACGAATACTAAAGAGTGTAAAGAATTAATCGAAATTGTTTTCCCGACGCAAACCACGCTGTAGAGTAAAAGGCGTCTTACGACCCACGTATTAATTACAAAGTCCTGAGTGATGCCGATAGAAGGAGCACTTACGTCACAGTCTTCAACGAAAGGTCATGTGACAATGGGTTCTCGGGATGGTATCGTTTGGCGGGACCAATCTGCCGCTGACTCGTCACTCACCTTTAATGACAGAGAAGTTCAAAACTTTTTAGAAATGGAAGAAAACCAAAATAAGTTGTTCTTCATCTAACAGCCTTATCATCTACACACTTAATGACATTTTTTCGCGATTTCATATCGTTTCATTTCTCTCTTCTTGAGGCTTATATATTTTTCCTTTGATTATAAATTCTCCTGAGTATATTTTTATAAAGCTGCCCGCCTTGACTAGCATTGGCCGCTCACGGGCGAGGAGAGAACTGCCACTTTCGTCTTCAGAGAAGTTTCCATTTTAAATCTTGTTGTTGCTTTGTCATCGTCGTCGTCGTTGTTGTTGTAATTGCTTTTGTAAGACAAACATCAAATTAAATTAAG